CTCAACTATCATTTTCAACTATCAAATAGTAGTTGTACGGATCTTTGGCAGTCCCTCTCTCAACAACGGCCAAATACTACGACCCTCCCCCCTTCCTCGCGGTGTATACGACCCCCCCCCTGTCGTGATCATCACAACAATGGCCTGCCGTGGCGGCAACAGCCCGTTCTCCAGTGATTCTTGTCACTTGCGTGCTTGAATAATTGCTGAAGAACAGGTCGGCGCCGCGCCAAGCTCAGCTTCTTAGCGCGCCCTACCCAACACCTGCAGTGAAAAAGGTTGCATTTAGGAACCATTAAGAAGTGAAGAAAAATGAAGCATTAATGCACCTGAGCGATACTACTACTATAATTTACAACTATCCCACGGATAAAGCGCTATACCTACCCAACGATTTGTCAACTCGGCATCCAAGCTCTCAATAGTAAAACGAACAGCAGTTGCTGTCGGAGTAGCTGCCGTGAGTTGTAACCAGGGCACTCCCTGTCCTTTCACCTGAAAGCTCCTATGATAATCACCAGATAACGCTTGAAAACACTTTAAACCCTACCATGAGGGAGAACAATAGCATCGGTTCTTTGCTCACGGTTTGAGGAGCATGATTTGAGACCGGTAACCATCCATATCGTTCTGCCCTGATTCGAGTGATTAGCGCGGATAGTTCGCTACGGAAAGACTGCTCAGCGAATAGGATCTGGTTCAGGAGATCAGTTGTGAACGAGTGATTTACTTGGCCTGAAATTAACTACTGGCAGTGAGTGAGAGCTCCCTCTACCGGTGATCAAGACACTGTGTTCGATGAGGCGAGAGTCGAGATCCTTTTTGTATAACGAGTGGGCAGATCCGCAACTGTCGAAGTGTAGCACTACAGAGTGCTTGGCTAAGAAGGTGGAAGCAAGTGGAGGCAAGCAGTGAAGCCTCGGCTCGTCACTCGACGCGCCACACGGTCATGCCATACGCCACACGCACTGCTTGCCTGCGCTCCTTTTCAGTCAAGTGGTACGTATGGCTTACAGCACAAGACAGCGCTCGTTGATTCTGAGGCCATTGTGACCGGCTTTGTTGATGTCGAACAGGTGAGAAGTCCCAGATCTTACGCAAAGTCCCTTCGGAAGACGCCTCACACAGTCTTAATAAGACCCGCTCGACAATATCTCGGTAAGAGAGCGAAGAGGAGCAGCGCATATGACGGCGGTACAGCTCGCGCCCCTGATGGTGGGAAGAGTTTTCGGGAAATACGATCCCTACCACTGATTTCGTCCTCTGCTACGATCCCCTCCCCCTTTCCCATCCTCCAACCTTTCCCAGCTTTTTAAACGTTTTTCGAAAATTTCCCAGTTTTCTACAAATATGCCGTTGACTTGGGAGAGAGCAGGGGAGGGGAAGATGAGGGGAAGCGAGAGGATATAGTCAGTGAAACAGGGAAAATATTATGGGAAAAAGTTGTCTCAGATCAAATACGACCCCTTCCGTCAAGCGATCAAATGCGACTCTCCTGGGGTCCCCCATCGTAGGACGTGCCCTGCAACGGTATAACTTTTCAACTTGCAGACGAAGTAAACAGTAATATCAAACAATCGCATCCCTCTAGTTTCCTTGCCATGCAGTTTCCACTGACGAAAATGGTACAGTTCTGTTGCTGCGGACCTTTCCATTTTGTAGGCAAAAAGGATCCCACCCTATAGGCAGGGCGAAATGTATCTTTGAAATCGTGAACTTACCTAGCGTGATAGTGACTTTCAGGTAGCCTCCCTCGCGGTAGAGAAGCGCCTTATTTGTTGCTGGTGCCGTTCCCTCCTTGTCAACGGTGTATTCTCCATTGACACCAACTGATGGCAATGCTAACGTAAATGTGTCCATAGGTTTACCAGCCGATGACACACAGAATTCTGCATAATGGTGCTGTATAGTAGCCGTCCATTTAGCCTCATCGCCTTGAAAATAGACAAAATTAGTATCACTAAACCAGAAGGTATTCATCACACTTGACAAACGGAAGGGATACAACTCGTAGCATCTGCGTTCCATGGAACACGCGATTTACTGGCGGGTGTGGTCCCAACGCGGTCAGCTTTTCACTAAGGAACTTGTTGATGTAAAATGAGGCAGCTAATCGCTTTGCTATTGCGAAAGTGG